TGATGTAAAAGTTTTGAAAGTGTTGGTTCGTAAAAAATAATATATAAAAATAAAAAAAATGATCTATTTTTTAAATATTATTATATTATCTAATAAAAGAAGTATTTAATTTAAATTGCGCGACAATACACCATTTTAAAGGAAAACAGAGTCAGTTAGATTCTTATTGCTAACGTAGCTCTGTTACAAAAATAAAAATAAAAATGACTTCTTTCTTATTCAATTCATGTACATAAATAAAAATGAATTAGCTGACTTTTATTATTAATTAATTGCAGAATAATAGTGTATTTCGTCACTAGATTCTGGTTACTGTATTCATCGCAACGTTTTTTTTCCGGAAATGATCCTGCAAAACCCTAATTGTCGACGGCTTTCGAAGTTTCAGAATGATTAATGGTGGTGATGATTATGCAGCACCACCAGCAGGTTTCCTCTGCAGTGGCGCCACCACAGCCGAATCTTCCTCCGTCTTCTTCGGCCTCCAATCTTAGAACCCCTACACCTTCTGCCCCGCCGCAATCTCAACTCCCTTCCCCTCTCTCTGTGGTCTCACGTCAGCCCCTTACATCACCAGCTGTGGATCATGTGATTGGCTCAGTGGTGCCCCTTGCGGCCGCCCATCCCTCTGGAGAGCCTCTGTTGACGATAGGGGGTTCGCTGGGGAGAGTACGGCTGTCGGATATCTCGCCATATGATGGGGCCCCGGCGGGACCCTATGTTAGGGCTGTGGAGGCGCTTTCGGGGTCGTTGATGAGGCATAATGCTGCTATTATTGAATTGGGGAGTGAGGACGCTGCGTTGTTGCGTTGCGGCTTGGAAGCTGCACGCTTGTACTTTCGAAGCAGGGCGCAGACTAGTGGAAAGGGAAGCCGTGGAGTTTATATGTACAGAGCTGGAAGGTATGTGGTTATATTTTTTGTGCAAAGCCCTCATTTTTATTTATGGGGTTCAGTTTGCCTTTGATTATCTGTTTCTGAATTAGAATTGGTATTTTCTTGAGGCGTTAGCTGTGATTAGAAATGTTGTTGATAAATCACAAGAATATGGGAATTGGGAGTGTGTAGTTTATCAGGGGAAACGGTTATTTGTTGCAAGAGAACAGCACAGTTGTTTTGAAGTTCATTGGTACTAACATTGGCTGTCTAACAATCATCTGACAGTACATTTCCGTGATGTTGTTTTCTATGCTATCTTTGGTGGTGTTTTATCTTCTGGATGGTTTTGGTCCTAAGTTTTCTTGTTAGTGGACTTCTGGATGAAGTTAGCCTCCTCTCAACTGCTTCTGACTGTTTGTGACCTCTCAACAATGGGCGTTCTGCACCTGTCACAATTAACTTTTTGTTAATTCATCTGTTAGTTTTCTTGGTTAACACTGTTGAGCATTACCTTTTATTTTATTTTTTTTTCTCTGACAGGGCTTTGGAAGATTGGGACTCTTCTCCCCCCTGTATGGCTGATATTTTTAGGAGCATGGGAAAGGCAGCTCGTGCTGCTTTGTGTGCTATATCAAGACACCTTCGTTTGCGAAGCGAGTAAGGATATTTATGGTAGATAATATGTCTGTTTGCCTTGCTTCTTGTTTTATGCTTCTGTCCTCTGATGATATCCAATCCTATAATATGTGTTATGCAGTGTTTTCAACCATTTACTTGATGATACTCCATTGCCTGCCAATGAGGTTTCCTCCTCAGTTCTTGTTGCAACCTACTCTCACATATCTTTTCAAAATGGAAAAGGAGCTATTGGGGGAGGGAAGCCAGGGATAAATGGTGAAGTTGAGAAAGGGTTGTTGACATTAATTTCTTCTGACAGTCCTGGTCTACAGGTTTCTTTCTTTTACCTAATGGAAAGTATCTGATACTTGTATTATCAAAATAATTACTTGCTAATCAAAACTTTGCTTCTATGTGCATCTACATGCACTTATACTGTTATACACAAACACACAAATCTCTGTGTGTTTGTTGGGAGAGGGGGAGGGGGGAGTGCACATTCATGTGACTCTGTGTGTCTGTAAAACTACTTTTTGGATGGTTTTCTGTTTTATGATTTTTTCCAGGCATATCTGTAAAATTTTTTCTTCTTTAGGTTTGTGACCCCAATGGTCGTTGGTACCTAGCAGATGGTGGATTAGCTCCAGGGGATCTTTTGCTTGTTACAGGGAAAGCCCTTAGTCATGCTACAGCTGGCTTTCGTCCTACTGCCTCGTACAGGGCGGCTCCTGATTGCTTCTCAGGCACTAATACTGGTGGCAGGTATAAAAATATATGCTTGGCTCTTGCAATATTTTTAATTTGAAGGTGTTCCAGCTTCAGTTGAATTACTCTTTTGAGCTTTTGATTTCAGGACATCACTAGCATTTAGGCTCATGCCACAGAGTAATGCTGTATTAGATTGTTCTCCAGTTGCAGCAGCTGGTCATGTAATTTCTCAGAACTATTTACCAATATCTGTTAGCCAGTTTATGGATGAACTTTCTGCTGAAGAAGATGTATTGTGCAATCAATCTGATAATACCTATGTAAGTTCTAGTTTTGAGCAAGTGCTTGTCCTCAGTAAATGGACCTACTCTCTTTTGTTTGCTTAAGTTTGTGAACTTCACATTAAATTCTTTATTTTGATGATAATTCTTGTTAGAAATCTTAATATGACTTTTGGATTCACAGGTAGTAACCAATTTGAACAAGGACCCTTCATTAAGAAGTGTTCTCTCAGATCCCTTGTCGTAAGTTTTTTGTCTTCTTACGTAGTTTTGTTTTTGCCTTTTGGTTAAATTTATTATTAGTTTCATTTAGATTTTCTGTTTCAAATGTCGGCATTGAATGCTTGTACTCCTTATCAGTTTAAACTAGTTATGATAATATATTGTAGAATTCATAAATTTTAGGAATACACCTTATTTGTTCTTTTTGCTTCCTGCCTATGGAACATATCCCAGCAGTTATTTATGAAAAGTATATAGAAGACAGGCTTTTAAGTAAGATATTATCTGTTAAATTGTAGCCTTTTCTTCTTACAAGGTGTTTCTTTTTTTTTAATGCGATAGTGGTTCATTCCTTGAAGATGCTGTCGTTGTTACATGTGGACATTCTTTTGGTGGTCTCATGCTGAGGAGAGTCCTTGAAATGGTAAGGTATCCTCTATCAAGGAAAATGTTATTATTTGATAGATTGCTGAGAAGATGCTTTGAGTTGTACATGTAAAATGACCTTTATTGTCCTTTCTGGGTTTAGACTTTAGAGGATGAATCATCAGTGTTTTAACTGATTGTTTGCTGCATGTTATTGGTTTTTATTTTTTTACATTTTTAATTGCTAACAAAGTTTCAACTTGTAAGAAGTTTTGAGTTTTTAGGAAAATAGAAATTTTAAGGTGTAAATTAGATTCATATATATATATATATATGTTGTTTTTTAGTCTGTATGAACCATACAACATGCTAATGGGTAATGCACCTCTTTGTTTCTCTTCTATCTATACTTTCTTTGATGTTTTAAGATAAAAGGGAAAAATAAAATTTTGCCAATAATTTGGGATCATAATTAAATGCTGCCCCCCCCCCCCCCGGTCAACCTATATCTATATGACATTTTCTTTTAGGGTGAGAAAGAGAAAGATATAGGACTTATTTAAGCATGTTTAAAACTTGTTGTATGATGTGCATGATTCTGTTTTTTGTTTTTTTATTTTTATTTTTTATTTCATTAACTCCATTATGCTTTTGTGTGTGTATGTGTGTGCGTGCATGTGTGATCAAGTGCACTGATCTTGTGAATGATGCTATATTACTTTCTGCTTCAATGCCGCCTTTATCAGGTTGGTCTAGGTGGCCCCTGGTATTTCAACAGATATATTGGAGATTAATCTCAATGTCTGCTGAATAATAGCTTGAAAGCAAATCATCACTTTTTTATGATGGATATATTGCCTTTATATGGGAAGATACATGAATCATAACTACAATTATTGTTTGCATCACAGTCTAGATGTACTCTCTGCAGTCAAGAAATTGACAAAGGTTCTCTGATCCCTAATCATGGTATGTTGTGCTTTGCTATTAATTTATATATTGTTCAGCTTTCTTTTTACCTACATTAGTTTATGTTGTTCATGGTCGGTCAGTCAAGTTGTATTCCAGTTGACTCTTTTGAACCATTTGATTCTGTGTCCATGCATTCCTCTTTGTCTTCCTCTCCCACGTTCTTGTTTCCCATCTCATATTTGCCCTTGGTTGACAGCTCTACGAGCTGCAGCCGCAGCTGTCAAGCAAGAGGATGATCGAAGGCTATTCCATAATGCAGCTCTCCGTAAGCGTCGAAAGGAAATGGGTGAACAAATAGATCCAATAAGGAGATCAAACAGGGTATGCCCCAAATAATGTTTTTGCAAAATCGTTTCAATTCCTTCTTGGTGATACTTAAACTATCAAAATCATGATACGGGTATTGAAATCCATCTAACATTGCCCACATATATGTCATAAGGAGAATGGAGATGCTGCTGATGATGGGTTACATAGGGGCGTTCAATATCCTTTTTCTGTTAATGAGAAGGTGCTAATTAAGGTAAGCATTTTACTGTCCTCTCGACTGCAATCTTTGACTCATGACAGTTTCAATTTGATTAAGACCGAAATTTGAAGGCTGCATGTGTAATTGAAATGTACAGGGAAACAGAAGGACCCCCGATAAATTCGTTGGGAAAGAAGCCATTATTACATCCCAGTGTCTCAACGGCTGGTGAGTGCTTGATACCCTTGAAATTCCATCCTTGATGTCAATCTTCAATCCTCCAACATGCTCACGCTCACGTGTTTCTCACTTACAGGTATTTGCTTAAGATTGTTGACACTGGAGAGAACGTCCGCCTACAGTATCGTTCTCTCCGTAAGATCTCAAACACTCAAACCATCGAAGATAGATGTTCCTCTCAGCCAATTCCGAACAGTAGCTCATAGATATATTTATATAGATATCTTTCCACACCCAGATATGTCATGTCATGTATCTTCTTTTCTTCTGTTGGAAGTTAGGTTATTTCCCCCCACCCCAGGTTCCTGCTAGAAGCTTGTAAAGAAAGAGGAATACATTCTGGAGAATATAACACGGCCCTTGCTTCCCATGTAACATGAGGTTGTTCCCCCCCTTTTTTTCTCTCCCCTTTTTTTTTTTTTTTTTAATGATTTGTAATATGAAGCTGCTGGCAATTTAACAAAATATAATAAGTATTTATATTTATTAATTTGTTGAACATGTGTTGGGTTACAATTTTCTGCTGCTGCTGGAATTTTAATGAAAAACATTTTTGCTGTTCTGCTTTTGTTTCTCATGTCCCAATCTCATGCCGTCCAAGATGCCGTTTCTGCTGCACAAAACTCTGTTGAACATCACGTTAACGCCGTCACTCAATTTCTCCAGCTGTTCTGAAAACGACGCCGCAACCTTCTCTAGTTCCTTAACGGTGCCGTCAAGCTTTTCCCTGTCGTCGCTATCTATGACGTCATGCAATTCCTTAATTCGCAACTCAACTTCGTTGATTTCCCTGAAATACCCTTTGCCTTTGTCTCCACTCAATCGTTGTTTTAGCTGAGTCGAAACGGCAGATGCGAGTTCGTTGAACGAGTCCGCCCAAGGGAACTCAGCAGGCATTGCGCGCACCTCCACCAAACCAGTTGACCCGTACAGCATCGAGATCGAAACGTCGACGACGAGGACTGTTATTAATCCCACGGCGTGGATTGTCTGGCGAAGAAGGCGACCTTCGGTCGAGGTTTTCTTCTCACGCGGCGCGTTGTCAAGGCTCCTTGCTAAACCTCTAACCAAATCCTCAACATCCACCTCGAAACCTCTTTTCTTGACCTGAAGGGAAGACGAATTGTTAGTAATCTCCAATTTTGAAAGAAAATCCCTGGCTTTGACCAGATCCGATCCAAGTAACTGGATAAGGAAGTTGATGCGAAGTCGACGGTGTTTCAGCCTTTCGATCTGCGCCAAGGCGGAATTGCAGACATCCAACACTCTAAGACAATCATCCAAGTAGCAAGAAAACGATTCGTCCAACGGAGACACCTTAAGATTGGAAATCAGAGCGTCAGCCTGCGCGTGAGCAAAGCACAAGAAATCAACAGCCTGGGAAAGCCAAGAAAGACTGACAGAAGGCGGATTCAGGGCCTTGATTCCACGGAGTAGTGATTCATCAAACGATTGCGAGAGGCGGTCGAAGTTGTTCGGAACATCTTTGGAGTGGCTGTTGAAATGAAAAAAGGAAGGGAAACGAGCGTTCTCGGTGCGAAACATGGCTGATATTCACGAGAATTACAGAAGGGAGGAAGCCAGATAACTAGGGTTATATAATACTAAGGTAAAGGACGATGGATAAACGAGGACGAAAGGGGAAGGAAATTGCGCTTCCGCAAAAACAGTTTTTTCCTTCTTTGCTTTCTGAGACGCGGCTGTGACAAGTATACCCCTGGTTGCACCCCAAATTACACACGACATTTGGGTCCCATAACTTTTTCTTTTTACTTATTGGTGCATGTTTAGCGTGTTCAGACTAAACAGCCCTCAGAGTTTGACCAAATGAAAGGAGTGTAACGGATAAACCGAGATTTGTAGAAGGGCAGAATGGACACTTAACATAAAGGGGTATTTTGGTCAATTGGAATTCTGGACAAGGGTTGAAGTAGAGGGAAAGGAAGGACGGACAGTATCTCTCGTTTGTGTGCACACGTTTTCGTCAAAGTTCTTTCGGGGGGACTTTCTTTTGTAATTTCACTTTTGAAAGCAGCCGTTTTTAAGGTGGGGAAGTTGAACAATGAACTTGAAAATCTTAAAGGGGCCGTAAGTTTTGGTTAGTGGTAACCACGCAACTTCATTCCCTCATACCATGGTAGCACGAGTTCTTGCTGAGCAAGGCACCTCAGTGGATGCGAGCCGCGTAAAACAGCGAGTACATAGGCCGATTGCTGACTCACATAAAGCAAACTAGCCGGCTGAACTTTATATCTTTATATCATGGGAGCACAAAGTCTCGTGTTCATCACGTTTTGTGGGTGAGTGAGGCATTTCAGTGAGTTGGGTTTGTCAAGCACCATACCGCGCAAAACGGTGGGTACATAGGCTGATCGCTGGCTTCCGTAAAGCCAGGGAGTAGAAGTTGAAAAATGAATTTTGTATGAAAAACTCACCATGAAAATGGAAAAGAAATATTGAATTAGAGTTAATCAAGCTATATATTTTGTATGCGAGCAGTTTAATAAGGAGTGACCATAAAAATGCAAGCACACTAGTTTGATCAACAACCTCAACCCATGTTCACATCATATGTCAGCAAGCTAGCATATATCTGGAACATGACCAGAGAGTTTTAATTGAAGAGTGAGACCATCCAACATCTCGTACAAATTGTTAGATTCAAGATGAGATTTGTCAAAAGCAATGAACTCGTGAAGTACACCCCCGATTTCTGTCCAGCTATATCCTGATGTCTTTTCAACCCCTTTCTCTTTCATAAGCTTCCTTGTAGAAGCAGCTGCTTTCCATTTTTGACATGTAGAATACAAGTTTGTCAGAAGAGCATATCGACCACTATGGTGTGGCTGCAACTGGATCAAATGTTGTCCTACGTATTCCCCCAGGTCATATGCCTTGTGAATCATACAGGCACCAAACAAAGCTCCCCAGACACTAGGAGTAGGCTCCATTGGCATCTCTTCAATCAACTTCCTTGCTTCTTCTAAGTACCCTGCTCGGCCTAGAAGGTCAACCATGCAACCATAATGATCTACATTAGGCTCTATATGATAACTCTGCTTCATCATTTCAAACAATTTACGCCCCTCATCAACAAGACCTCCGTGAGAACATGCAGTAAGAACACTAATGAATGTAACACCAGTTGGTTGTACCCCAGTACTCAACATCTGTGTGAACATATTTAAGGCCCTCTGTGCATCCCCATGCACTGCAAATCCATTAATCATAGCAGTCCATGCGTAGACATGCTTTCTAGGCATAGTCTCAAAAACCAAAGAGGCCTCATCTAGACATCCACATTTTGCATACATATTTATCAAAGCCGTCCCAACAGCAGAGTTCATTTCTAATTTATTCCCAACCATATATGCATGGATCCACTTTCCTTGGTCCAAAGCACCGAGGTGTGCACAAGCAGTAAGAATACTAGACAGCGTCATTTGATTAGGCTTGACATTTTCTACAAGCATATCCTGAAAGACAAAGAGTGCATCCTTAGATCTATTACATTGTACATAGCCAGCAATCAATGCACTCCAAGAAACCACGTTTTTGCTTGGCATTTCATCAAATCCTTTCCGGGCATCATCACAGCATCCACTTTTTGAGTACATATCAACAAGAGCACTACAAACATATACATCCAATTTAACTTTCCCAGTTTCTATGTAAAACCCATGGACACACCTTCCAAACCATATATCA